TTTTTTTTATTCCAGTGCTGGCCTTGAGTTGCAGTCACCATTGGCAATTGGGATGTGAGATTCACAGCACATTAGTAATGCACTCTAGAATCTTTACAAGACCTTGTTATAATTTCCAACTCCTCAAAGTAGGTGAGGTGAGTAGGTGATTCATGAATACCACTTAAAAGTTTCTGCAAAATTAGCTCGCTTTGGAATATGGCATCTAGCGTTTTCGTGCCTCTGCCAGTATTGAGACAGCAAGAGTCCTGTTTTAACAGTCTATTGGAATAATAGCTGGTGGCACAGTGGTTAAAGCATTTGAATGCTAACTGAAAGATCAAGAGTTCAAACCTGTCAGCCACTCCAGGGTAGAAAGACATAACAATCAGCTTCCATAAAGATCTACAGCTTTGGAAACCCTGTGGGGCAGTTCTACTCTGTCCTGTAGGGTTGTTATAAATCAGAGTTGATTAAACAGCAGTGGGTTTAGTTTTGGTTTGGAAAATAATATTTAACATTTATTAAGCACTTACTAGCTATTATTTTAAACAGTTTACCTACATTTAGTCAACTAATCCTCATATCAATTTTATGTTGTAGATAATGTTATACATCCCATGTTATTGATGAAGAAAATAGGTATGGTGAAATTAAGTACCTTGTCCAAGGTCACATGGTTGATAAGTGAACTAAGAGGCTTAAAACACAGGCATCTAGTATCTTCCTGCTTCTGCCAATATTGAGAAAGCAAGAGTCCTATTTTAACAGTCTGTTGGAATAATAGCTGGTGGCACAGGGGTTAAAGCATTCGATTGCTAACTGAAAGATCAAGAGTTCAAACCCATCAGCCATCACTGAAACCCATACTCTCAACCATTATACTACAATTGCCTTCCTTGGGCCTTAAAAGCCCATTGCTAGCAGGTCGATTCCAATTCGTGGTGACCTATAATGAGCTCTGGTGGCATAGTGCCTAAGGCATTTGATGGCTAACCAGAAGGTTGGTGGTTCAAACCCACTAGCCACTCTTTGGAAGGAAGATTGGGCAATCTACTTCTGTAGTGATACCACCTTGGAAACCCAAGGAGG